ACAAGTCACAAAGAACACTTGGTTGTAGTTGCCGCTGCCAAAAGTGATGCTACAAGTCATTAAGTTCAGTGGTTAATTACTTTCTCATGTATGACCAGATTAGTTTTGAACATTTTTGTTCCTCTTAAATGAGATTATCTTTTAAAAACTGCATCTCTTCTTTACAGAGAGGATATTTTTGACTAAAACTGAAGATACAAACCATATGTCAAAAAAAAAAAAAAAACTTCTATAAGAACAGAAAGCTATAACAGGTCACATACTTTCTTACAGCGCCTTTAAACAAAGTTTTAAGATGTAAATATAATCTGCTCTGCGCTATGCAAGCACATTCGGCGACTGTTCAAGGTGTTCTTTGTCAGTCAATTATGCAAATGGGGGACACTGGAATGTGGCTGGAGGGGGGGAGGGAGAGCGGTGGATTCATTTCCATTATGGCTATGATTCACCAGAAAACAAATGAGACATGCTGAAAAAGCTGCAGCATAATTTTCAGATGGCTGCAGATTAACCTCGCAGTAGGTGCAGCGCGCCGCCTCGGCTGAAGAGAGATGAAGTGGATGAAAAACAGGAATTGGATTCTCTTTAAAAAAAAAAAAAAAGAAAGGAACAAAACGAAGCGATTAAAAAAAGGAGCTGAAACAAACAGCGAAAAATAAAATAAAATTTAAAAAAAAGTTGGAGGAGAAAGGAGGAAGGCTGTTCAGCTGCTCCGAGAGCCTCCGCGCTAAGTCAATCAAGGAAAAAAAAAAAAGAAGTAATTTCTCATTTTTATTTCAGTCGGAGTAATTTCAGTGTTCATTCATCAGTGAAACCTCATTTCAATTGAAAAGCTGCTGGAACAGAATGCGTGGAGCTACCTGCTGTCACATCGCATCCCCAGAATCCTGCAGGGGGGGAAAAAGGGAAAAGAGTCCCATCCGCGCTGCGCGGCGTCCATGTTGCACCGCCGCGACTAAATTACATTCTGACCTTTTAGGAGTGATGGAGACTCCCACACCGCATCGTATGCCCCACGCTCCCCTCTTCACACACACACACACACACACACACAAGGTAGGCAAACACAGACTCACACGATGCGACACATCAGTGCAGAGATGAGAAAAAAGAAAAAAAGAAAAGAAAAAGAAAATCATCAGTCAATAAATGGCAGCCAGCAGCAGCAGCCTTACCTTTGAGGATGCTCTGGCCATGTAGTGCGTCTCTGGGGACGATCACCGTGTAGAAGTTCTGAGAGAAGCCGGGTCTGCAGGGAGGCTTCGGGGGCTGGCCCGCCCTGCTCCCCTAGGGGAAGGGGGAAAAAAATAATAATAAAAAGGTGGACTAATTTAGGTTCATAAGTGGATTTTTTTTAGACCAACACTGAATCTTCCTGTTTGTTTTCAACATGGATCCACCGTCTGAAGCAGATCGATCACCATCAGACTCCGCCTGCCTGGCCACCTCTACACGATCACTAGACTTCAGCACCGGGTGTAGATTTTTTTAGGAACTGGAATTTCAGGGAGGAGATGACTGGCTTTATACGATTTCCTCCAGTGCAGTGAGGTCAGTTCCCCCAAAATCAAAATCAAGGGTAGGCAGAGGTTTCAAAAAGCAATACCACTCCTACAGTCTGAAGACCTCTTTAGGACATGAGCAAGTAGCCGTGTCAATGCTGTGCACTGCCGTCCAGCTGGAGGAAAGGCAGCTAGTAAACTCGTTCTTTGCTTACATGTCAAAATAAAAATCACTGCGTTGCATGGCTGCGAAGTTACCTAACGCAGGCTTAGTACAACAAATTAGCAGTCGTTAATATGTGATATGTTGATGTTCCCAAAAGACGCAAAACAGCAAAAATGTAAAATTTAGCTGCATAAAGAGCAGTTGCAAACACTACGAAGTGATTATTCATTATTTATTTTTTTAAGTCTCCCAAAGTCAACACAACACTAAGTGTGATTATATGTCATTGTAGCAAAAGTAAAACTATTTTTGTTTTGTTTTAAATCAAATTAATTTGGTCATCCATGCCATTTTTTTTTGTATAAAAGTTTGTATATTTTTGCACAAATTTAGAACCACAAGACAGTCATTCAAAACATTCCAACCTGCATCATTTGATAACTGTGTTTTTGTTTGCATGTAGAATGCCTGTCACACACACGACATGAAAATAAGTCTGCATACCACATGCCTAACCTCAACACACGCAAATAAGCAGCTAAACATTTACTTCTGCAGCAACTCACAAATAACTTTACATTAAAGTAACCCAGGCCGCCCCGACGACGCTGCCGTCCTGGGTGGTGAGCCGCAACACCCAGATCAAAAAACCACCACAGTGCAGTGACACAATGCAGTGAAATCCTATTAGCCATACTTCATCTGTGAACACAAATGATCATAATTAGCCATAATCCTGAAAATAAAAGGCGACCAGCAGCTTGAGGAACGGCAACAACATAGAAAGTGTCCATAAAGTGAAGCCGCATTTCGTCTCTGCAACGTGTAGAGAGGAATACAAGAAAAATGCTAAGTGTGCATTATTATCAGGCACAGCTGCAGGATCACAGAGTGCGAGCCGGAAAGAGCAACTATCCTCGCAGCATGCACCTGATTCATGCATCTGTAGTATCACATCCCCTCTGACTGCACACACACACACACACACGCACACACACACAGACAGACAGACAGACAGCTCACCCATGGCAGTTGTTTGCCTGTGAACGGAATAAGATGTCCCCCCTCTTACACACCCCCGATTATTCTTCCTCATTAGGCAAAACTGATCGCCAACCGATCAGTTGTTTGGCGCTGAAATGTTAGCAGCGTGCAAGCGAAGTTTAATTGCGGGCGGCGGAACAACAAGCCACCAGAACATGTATAAAAACCATCGTCCACCGCAATAATGCTGCAGTTTATTCCCGGGGAGGAAAACGCTCTGACTTTTTAGTCGCCCGTCTTTAAGAAATAAATAAATGACTTTAAATCACAAGCTTTGCAGATTTTTTTTCTCCCTCCAACAAACTGCACGGCTCCACTGCACCCATCATGTGGCGGCGCAGCACAACGTGGCAAAGTGAGCCGTCCGCGGCCACTTCCGAGCGCCCATGCAGCGCGCTGCAAAGCACTACGGCAGTGCAGCACCTCCAAAACCGGAGCAGACGGGGGAGAAAATGAACTCATCTTACCGAGGATGCGCCCACGAGTACGGTGCACGCCAACAGGATGCAGCCAGCGATCATCTTTGCGAACAAACCAAAAAAAACAACAACAAAATAAAATGCTAAAATGTTAGAGAGAAGGAAAGAAAAGAAAAGAAAAAGAAAGAAGAAGAAACAATCAGGGGAGGAAGAAGAAGAAGGATGAATCTCCGTCAGTCGGTATAATTCCCGGATCTCCCGTAGTGGTTTTGTGTGTGTAGGTTTTTTGTTTTTTTTTCTCTCTCCTCTCCTCTCTCTTCTCCACCGCTGAGCAAGAGAACGTCCCTACTTGTCTGGCGCAAAAGTGCCGCTGAGACAGAAGATGCTGCGCTCCGTCCGGAGGAAGCCGGTGCCCATTGGATGACGGCGTCACTACACCCCCTCCTCCCCCGCGGCGGTGCGGGCGAGGCTGGGCCAGGCAAGGCAAGCCTGCGCCGCCTATAACTCCACCGTGATGATGCCACTTCAGGGATCTATTGGTGGAGAAATGCCTTTTTCCAGGCTATTTAGATTCATATTCTGACTTCAGGTGGAGCAGAGCGGAGCAGCGGCGGCTCTCCGGCTGTGTGAGTGACAAGCAGCCATCCGAGTCCTTTTCATGAGTCCATCAACTAACTGCAGTCTATTTCACACCCCAGTTACCCCCTCTGCCCCTGATCCAGGGTATAAGTATAGCAAGAGCCGGCGAGTTATTAACTTTTTATTAAAGCTGCCAACGATAGAAGATCGGCAGATAGGACTTTGATTGTGACTGAAAGCTTCAGATGAAATAAAGTACAATGTACCAAAAAAAAAAAAAAAGAGAGAGAGAAAGAAATCATCTGCGATCACAGGGATTTCATTTCTCTCTGTACTTGATTTGCTTCAAGGTTCTCATTTAATTTTAAAGAGATATAAATATATACAAATATGAACTCATATTTTGTGAGACAGTTAATATTAAGACTGTTTTAGGAAAGACGGTGTGAGAAAAAGTCTGGCAATCCATGGTAAGTTTTTTTTTTTTTTTTTTTTGCCTCAATCTCCAGAAACAACCCATTGAAATTGTTTATTTACAGTATTCTTCGTGCTGGGGTTTTAATGTTTCAGAGGCAGTAATGGATAAAAAGATGAATTTTGGTGCATGTACTTTACAAGACTGATGTTTTTGTGCATTCTCTTCAAAGTAACATTGTATGTTCGCTCCATCAATCCCGCTTCCCATGTCGGCTGAAAATAAAGAAATAAAATCAACGCCGTGGCATGATACTCCCACCACCAACGTTTCGTGTTTCAGTTCTTTCTCATTCTTTTCTGGTAAAATTGCTCAGCCTCATTTAGATTGGAAGAAGAGTTTCCAAAACCCTCCATTATAAACACTTCTGATGGATTCTCAATTGGTTTTAATTATGTACTTTAACTGGTCCATTATGACATATTGGCCTAAACCATTGCGTAAACCTCCAGCTGTACGTTTAGATTGTCTTCCTGGAAGACGATAGTTTGATCACCATCCTCTGTGTCTTTTGCTGCCTCTTCTTCCCCGTTTTTAGCTTCATCAGTCTTCCAATTCAATCTGACCAGTTTGCCCGACTAAGAAAAGCATCTTCACAGCATTACCTTATGGCACCATAAGGATGAAATATTAATATTAGTTTTGTGCCAACTGTGGTTTTCTGAAAGTAGGTCAAAGAGCTCAAATTTGAGCATCTTCTTCCACATGTTTTCTGTGTCCCAAACTGACAATCGGACTTTTTATGCCTTTGTTTCAACGATGGCTGTTAGTTTCATTCATCCAAAAAGGCCAGATTTGTGTCGTCCATTACTGAGGCCAGTCTCATGGCACCAAGACAGCCGCAAAGCCTGCGTGACGGAAACTTGGGCGTTCTTACCTGCTGACTAGGTGACTGTACTGGCTGTGGCAATAATACCTCCCTCAAAGAATGTCACCAAACAGATCCAGTCGCTGTCCACATGGCAACTTTTTTTTTTTTTTATGGTTTTCAGTTTATAAAGAAAAAAAAAATCCACACGGGACCTCTTCCAGAAACGTTTTCACGGAAACACAGGTAAGTTGTGCTTTTACTCCCCCAGAGATGAGTAGTAATAGCAGCGCGTGCTCGTCTGCGAGATGCTCGGTTGACTAGATGTCCTGTCAACAGATTCTCTAACCCACAGCTGGCAAACTCCATAGCAACCATTGGTCAATTATTGGTTTATTGAATTAAAAGTGCTCCAAGAATGTTTATATAACCGAGGTCACCTTTCTCTCCGATCTAAAGAAAGATAATCTGAGCGTTTTAATAATAACCATGGAGAGAACCTGCAAGGAAGGTAACCATGGAGGAGGAAGCAGCATGATAGCAGGAGGAACCAGTAGAGAATGGCAGAGACCGAGAGGCTCAAACACAGAAGTGTGACTGTAGACAAGAGGCAGGTGGTTGATGGCTAACAGGATGCATCCGGGAGAGAGGAGGCAAACAGGTGGAATGAAGGAAAATGAATAATTTACACCGTGAGCTGAGAGTTAAAAAAAAAAAAAAACATGAGGAAAAGAACAATATTAAGACTCTTAAGAGAACAAAACCCAGAGAGCCTAAAGAGCAGAACGCAAGGATAAATACAGAAACCAAACACAGAGAAATCAACATTTATGGCAAGACCTGTCTAGCGTTAATGAACACAGGAAAGGAGTGAATGTAAGGCAAGACCTGATCAAATATAAATGAGCAACAAGGGGTGGTAAAGACATGAACACAAATAAAATCATACGATCTGCTGAGTTCCTTGGTCTTAATGGTGCCGATTATTCACTAATGTTCTCTAACAAACCGCATCTAAATAGCTGCATTTATACTGAAATTAAATTAAACGCAGCTTAGCTCCATTTTGGAATTTGTGCCTTCTTAAGGTAGTTGAGCTCACTGGATTTAATTTAGGGTAGAGGTGTCCAAACCTTTTGTCATGTGATCCAAAGATGACCAGTCAAAAATATTCATGGGGGTCAAGGAAAAAAAAAAGACTAAGAGAACTAAAATCAAGTAAAGTAGCCCAATTTTAGTTTCGGTTTTGTAGGAAAGGGATGTTATGTATCAAATATCCAGATGTTTAAAAGGATTTTGCCCATTTGAAGTATTAAGAAAAAGGCATCTAGTTTTCAAATCCTGCTAGGTTTGGTTAAACACATTTGTTTCCAGTTTTAAAAAGAGGATTTGGGTCACTTTCTTTCAAAATGCTGGCCAAGTTTAATAAATTAAATAAAAGCCGATTTGTTGCAGCAAAGTCGGCTTTTCGGTAAAAGTTCAGTGGTTCTATTTATCATAAAAGCTTGGCTGTAAAAAAGACAAATACTTTGTTGCCAACATAAAAAAAATATTGTGTTGGTAATAATTTTACTCTGATTAAAATGAAAAAAGTTCAAACACATTTTTATCATTCTTGAACGGCTGTTTGTGGGCCACAAAGAGTCACTTCGAGGGCCACAAATGGCCCACGGGCCACACTTTGGACACCCCTGATGTAGCAGTATCAGAGCAGGATACAAATGCTTGCTAATTTGCAGATTTTTATTCTCTCCCACATTTATACATTCCTTTCTATTGGTCTAACAGGCGGCGATGCTTTCAAAGATCTTCGAAAAATTGGACAAAACGAGCACAATAAAATGTTCACACGACGCCTTTTAGCTGCGTTGACCCGTCTAACAGTTTAATAATGTTGACATTTTCACTGCCTCAGATCAGTGCCTCCCATTACCATATCTGAGGGGTCGTGACAATTTAATCCCATCTAAAGGAATATGACAGTGTTGCCGTGTCAATCAGCGCAATCCAGAGTCTGCCCTGTCACTGCCATTCACTTTACTCTGCTTCATGTTTGGCACCAGTGGCTTCAGTGTTGGAATAAAAGAAA